ATGGTCCTCAAGAAACACAGGTAATTTCTGATCCTGATCTTATTTTTTCACCAACAGAAGCTCAAAATTCAGAGATTATGAATCTGGATCTTCTTATAGCCTTTAGAAAAGGAACACGTTCTTGTACTACCAAATATCCCATTTCGAAATACCTATCCTACAAAAAAACTCACACAAACATCAAGCTTTTTTGTCAAAAATTTCTAATATGTCTGAACCTAGAACAATACAGGAAGCTCTTAGTAATCCAAATTGGAGAATAGCGGTAAATGAAGAGATTGATGCTCTTTTCAAAAATTGGACATGGGAAATTGTCACTTTACCAAGAAACAAGTCTACTGTTGGGTGTAAATGGGTCTTCACTACTAAAGTCAAAGCTGATGGGAGTATCGAAAGATATAAAGCAATATTAGTAGCTAAAGGAATCACTCAAACTCATGGAATTGACTATCATGAGACATTCGCTCCGGTAGCCAAGATCAATTCTATTCGAATTTTACTGTCCATAGCAACAAATCGTAATTGGCCCCTGCATCAGCTGGACGTCAAAAATGCTTTTCTAAATGGTGAATTAGAGAAAGAGGTGTAGAGAAAAAGGTGTTCATGGATCTTCCACCAGGATTTGAGAAGAAGTTTGGAGAAAACAAAGTGTGCAGATTAAAGAAATTCTTGTATGGGCTCAAACAATCTCCTCGCGCCTGATTTGAGAGGTTTGGAAAGGTGATTACAACATATGAATACACTCAGAGTCAAGAAGTTGATCATACTATGTTCTACAAACATTCAGAAACTGGTAAACTCGCTATACTCAATGTCTATGTAGATGATATTATCCTTACAGGAGATGATGCTAGGGAAATTGAGAAATTAAAAGAAAGATTGCCCACAGAATTCGAGATTAAAAATTTGGGAGATGTAAAATACTTTCTTGGTATTGAGTTTGTCAGATCTAAGGAGGGGATCTTTATTAATCAACGAAATTATGTACTTGACTTACTCAGTGAAACCAGAATGCTTGGGTGCAAAACAACTGAAACTCCGATTGAACCAAATAAAAAGTTACAAGTGACAAATAAAATAGATGGTGTCAATAAAAAACAATATCAGAGACTGGTGGGAAGATTAATTTACTTGTCACACACTCGTCCTGATATAGCATTTGCTGTTAGCATGGTAAGTTAGTTTATGCATTCCCCAAATACTCATCACTTGGAGACTGTCTATCGGATCCTTAGGTATCTGAAAGGAACACCCGAAAGATGACTACTGTTCAAGAAAAATGAGCACTTACAGGTAGAAGCATTTACAGATGCAAATTGGGCTGAAAGTGTTACAGATAGAAGATCAACCTCAGGGTACTGCACGTTTCTAGGAGGGAACATAGTAACCTAGAGGAGCAAGAAACAAAGTGTCGTGGCAAGAAGCAGCGCTGAAGCTGAATTCAGATCTGTGGCTCATGGGATATGTGAAGTTCTATGATTAAAAGAATTCTCAAGGAGTTAAAAATTCATAGTCCACCACCAATAAAGGTGTACTGTGATAATAAGTCTGCCATCGCCATCGCCCACAATCCTGTCCTTCATGATAGAACAAAACACATAGAGATAGACAAACACTTCATCAAAGAAAAAATTGACAGAGAAGATATC